CAAGCACAGGACAAGCAGAAATAAGCCTCTGGAACACACAACCATCACCAAGACCATTGAACCGAACTGAATCAAGAAGGAGGGTCTTAAGAGCTGGAAGCAAAGTATTCTCAGGGATAATGAGGGTCTCAGTCTCACCACTGTCCTGCAAGTGAAGATCTCAAGAGGCAATGGGTAATCTTCTTTGATGTCCAGTATAAGATCTATAACACCACGCTTCGACACATTGCAGAGACAATCATTGACAAGTTTATACTGAGCATGGTCATAATCCGCAGGCCACAATTTCAGAGAGAAACTTCTTACACGGTAACTGGCATGTAGAGCCAATAATCCATCAACAAATGACTTGAAACTTCCACAAATGTTTATCGAGTAATTAAAAACAAGATCCAATTCGATGATAAACAGATTCAGCCATTTCTTGTAGAGAACCCTTGTACGCGCAGCTTCCTTTGCCGAAAGGAAGGAGACGATGTGGATATTAAGGTCGTCTGGTAAATTACGTCGTTGGCTCATTCTATGAATCCATACTCTTCGCTAACCCTAAATAAACCTTTTCACTACCCAGAAAATCCCAATTTCTAATGGAACCTTCAACGACTCGACTCCGATACCAACCACAATTCCCAAAGAAGATAATCAACGATCAATTTCAAAGCAGACAAACTTACATCACAAGTCTATATGAAGATGGTGAAGAACAAACCCAGAAGTTATCGCGAACGCGAATATGCAGGAACAAGAAAACTTGAAGCGAAATGTGCATACGACATCGAATCCGATCAATTATTCACTCGTACCATCAAATTCCAGAGATTTCTGAAGCGAAATTGCATCTTCCATGAAATTGACGAAGAACTAGAGAAGAATCGTATCACTGTTCTTGAGAAAACTGGAGAAACTGGAGAAATGTTAAAATTTTATTTCCACTTTTTTATTTTCAATTAATTTTGGCTCTAATAGTCGGATACAAATTACAAAATCATCATCCAATAATACTGCGCCAGCTGTAATTATCCATTAATCAGTTTCGCGTTTATTAAGCAGGACGAGCAACGTCTTGGACCTTATAATATTTGCATATTTGGGCTTTATCAATTAGGCCCATATTTGTCTCCGACTTCATAATCCAATTTATGTTTGGTACGGGTGGTTTAGTACTGGTTCTCTTTCCTTTTTGTTTTTTTTTTGTCGTGTACTGGTTCTCAATCGTAGTAAACCAAACCGAAGCAGAGTCAAATTAAGGATACGAACACATTTTTAGAGTTTAAAATTGTTTATCGTCTGCAATAAGTTTCATTGAGATGTTGAAAAAGAACTAAAGAAGTTATCAAAAGCAATCTACTTACCATCACAGTGAACAAATATCTGAGAATTTGTTTTGGTTAATCTCTTTGATTTCTCTATAACTCTTGTCAATAATGGACATATCTCTTACAAAATCCAGTGTTTTTAGACACTAAGAAACGACACAACAACCAGTAACAGATTACAACAACGCCCAGATGTGTTCCAATCAGAGTGAAATCAGTCAGATATGTAAGATACAAAAACAAACCAGTTTCATATGAACAAATGGGAAGCATCTTTTTGTTTCTCTTATCGGATAATGGAAGTTCAAGAGAAAATGACCTGGACTTTGCATTTGGTTGAAGCTCTGGGAAACATTAAGAGGTTCGACAAGATCTCCACCTTTCTGCTATCTTCGAACATGACCTGAACATGAACTTCCAACAGCTCAACACACAGCAAATTCTGCAAGATCAGCTCTATTTGCACCATCTCTCCAATACGTCCTCGGAAGTCAGTTATCATTAGGGTCTTAATGGGACAGGACTGGAGGAAAGAATACCCCCTTCAAGCATGTGCAAACTTCTGTCCAATCCAAACCATCTTGATACTGATAGTGCAATTCCTGGGAAGAAAACAGAGGAGAAGTTTGAGATTGAACATTTTATGAGTACCCATATGGTTTGTCCAATGGACTTTTGGGGGATTTCATTCATACCTTAATGGTGAGAGTCGTTAGTTTTGGAGAATTCTCAAGCAGAAGTCCCATACCATAGCAACAGCAATCTGGTTCAGTACTAATTGATAAACGAAACATGTTTCCGAACTCTGGGAGTACTTCGTCGACGAAGGCGTCAAACAGCTAGAACAGGACACAAAAGATACAAGACTAGTCAGTCATAACTTCAACAAACATTCTAATGTCTAGCAAGATTTTGATTTTTAATATCTCAATGGTTCCTTCCTCATGCTCTAGTATTCGTTAAGCAGCGGGAATAACATAAGAGAAAGTAGAAAACAATAGAGAACACTGACCTGCATTGTCTCAACATCGTCTAAGCTCATAATCTGAACATTTTTTAACCCCTCAATCAGATTCCATGGATTGTAACTATCCGGAGCATGCGATACAGGAAGATTGAGCTTTGCTTCAACAAGGGAGTTGAGATTAACTACTGGATACTCATCTCGGAGAAGGTCAGAGTATTCTAAGTATTCAAGACTTGGAGTATCAAAACTAATAGCCGCATAGCTGGAGCCATCCTGTTCTACCCTATCTTTACGCCGAATAGTAAGTCTCTTAAGGATCTGACTAGACACAGTGCCAGACCAAGTCCATTCTTCACAGTTGTGGCCATCTATGACTAACTCCTCAAGCACAGGACAAGCAGAAATAAGCCTCTGGAACACACAACCATCTCCAAGATCATTGAACCGAACTGAATCAAGAAGGAGGGTCTTAAGAGCTGGAAGCAAAGCATTCACAGGAATAATGCCGATAACAAACCCAGTCCCTAGTTTAAGTCTCACCACTGAACTGCAAGTAAAGACCTCAATTGGCAATGCGTAATCTTCTTGGACATTGCTGTCCAGTTCAAGATCCATCACACCACGCCTCGACACATTGCGTAGACAATCATTGACAAGATTATACTGAGCTGGATCAAAACACTCAGGCCGCAACTTCAAAAAGAATCTCCTTACACGGTCACTGTCATCTCGAGCCAATAATCCATCAAACAAAATCTGGAAATTTCCGTTAATCGAGTTATCAAAAACAAGATCCGATTCGATGGTCAACAGATTTTGCCACCTCCTTGAGAGAATAGTCGTGAAAGCAGCCTCATTTGCGGATAGAAACGACCCGATGCGTAAAATAAGCGCGTCTGGTAGATTGCTGATTCGATCCAACATCACTACTCTAGATAACCCAAATCACTACCACAATTTCTAATGGAACATTCAACGACTCGATCCAACAACTACCACAATTCCCAAAGAAGATAATCATTGATCAGTTTCAGTTCAGTAGAACTTACTTCACAATTCGACATGAAGATTATGAATATGCGGGACCAAGAAAACTTGAAGCGAAATTTGCAGAAATTGAGGTAGAAGACGACGAATCCGATCAATTCTTCACTCGTACCATGAAATCCGAGAGCTCAAAAAAGCGAAAATCCATCTTCCGAAGATAAATCGACGAGGAATCAGAGAAGAATCATATCACTGTTCTTGAGAAAGAAGAAGAGAAAGTGAAACGACTTTAGAATTTTCTTTTCTTTGGCTGGATAATAACAGAATTTAGTTTCTCGTTTGTTTAAGCAGCTTCGTCGGCTTTGCACTCACGCGCTGAAATCGAATAATTGGGCTTTCCCAAAAGAAGCCCATTTTTATAGAAGCCAAGGGCCCAAGATAATTTTTTTGATAATGACGTCACAACAATCAGTTGGAGATTACAAAAACCACAAGACGTTCGATTCAGGCTGACAGATGCAGAAAAACAACAAGATGTTCCCACACGCATTATTAAGTATTGTCCTTAAAAATTAACATGGTTAAAATTAACATTAATAATTTCTAGTTATTAATAATTTATGTATTTAATATTATGTAATTTTGGGGGTTATAGTAAATAATTATCTAAATTAGAAGACTAAACATTTAGAGAAATTTCAAAAAAATGCCACTTTTCAAGTATCACTTTACAAAAATGCCACACTTTTGAAATCTTTACAAAATGCCACTTTTTCAAAATTATTTTTTTTTATATCATTTATATTTGGGTTAATTATGTTCTATTACGATTTAGTTATGAGGGTTTAGAGGGTTTTAGGGGTCAAAACATTTTTTAGGATTTAGAATTTTAAGATATAGGTTTTATAAATCTATAATTAGTGGCATTTTTGCAAATGGGCATCCCTAAGTGGCATTCTTGCAAATGTGCACACAAAAATGGTATTTTGTAATTGTCCCAAACATTTATAGCAAATTACAATGTTATATATATAAAAAATAGACAATTCATTACTAAAAATTACAGCATATGGAAAATATTTTATTTGATACAAATCCTTAACTTGTATGTCTCAATTAATATTCACTACTATTTCCCAAAAATTATGAAATAATTTAAAAAATGTTCAAATTCTAAATTTTTCCAATTAAAGTTGTTGGATTTAGCATCACTAAAAATTCTAAAATCTTTCTTTAATTTTCTCACATCATTTTTTTCAATTTTTATACTATTGCTTTTATTTTGTGATTTTTTTAATTGCTCACAGTTTTCTATATAAAAGTCAAAAAAAAAATTGTATAGAATATTGTTGCATTTGATAAATAAAATATATATATTTTCTATACTAAATTTACTACAAAATATAGTAATTCACATAAGAATTATATAAATATACACAAAACACTTAATTGTAATTGATTTGAATTAATTAACATAAAAATTAGCTATTATGTTAGAATTAATTGTTAAAGTAACTAAAAGACATTTAATTTTCTTTTCTTTTTTCAATAAATGAATTAAAGAAAAAAATTGTAATTGCCACATGGCAGCCTCTCATAGCTTTGGTTTTGAAAAATCTTAAAATATTATATAAGATTAAATTTCGAACAAGATGAGAAGGTTTGTAAAGTTCCAAAAGGGATTTAATCAGCCGATAATTCTTTGCCAAAAAAACAAAAAATAACGAAAACTACACAACAACGTTGAACTTGCACTTGGACGAAGCTCTAGGTAGCTTTTGCAGTTTGTACTCAAGTTTCGCCTTTTTTTCACCTGTTGCCATCGGAAAATGAATTTGCACGAGCTCAAGACATGACAATTTCCCAAGGATATACTCCATTTGTCTCAATTCTTGTTGATTTCCAAAGTACTCGGTTATCTTTAGGACCTCTAAAGGACACGAATCTAGGAAAGAAAACTCTGACAAGCAGTGACAAAGAGAATTAAATTTCCTAAAGTGCAAGGAACCCTGACACAAGATGGAAAATGATTAGAGATTCAAGATTTGTATATCAGTATACAATGAAGGGTTTCGTCTTACATTGATTGTGAGTGTCTTTAGATTTGGCGATAAATTCTTTACCATAAATTTGATGGGAAACCAACAGTAGCGAGAAAGGTTAACTGATAAATGAGACAGCTTTTCAAACACTGGGAGTGCTTCACGGAACACATAAAACATCTGAAACCATAAGAGAA